ATGTCACGTTACTATGTCACGTTACTATGTCACGTTACTATGTCACATTACTATGTCACGTTACCATGTTAAGTTATCATGTCACGTTACAATGTCACGTTACAATGTTAAGTTATATTTTGTCACGTTACCATGTCATGTCACCATGTCACGTTACAATGTTAAGTTACATTTTGTCACGTTACCATGTCACGTTACAATGTCACGTTACCATGTTAAGTTACATTTTGTCACGTCACCATGTCACGTTATCATGTCACGTCACCATGTCACGTCACCATGTCACGTTACAATGTTAAGTTACATTTTGTCACGTTATCATGTCACGCCACCATGTCACATCACCATGTCACGTCACCATGTCACCTTACAATGTTAAGTTACATTACGGTTGTTAATTTACAAAGTAACGTCATGTTACGTTGTTACGTGGTTAAGATAAGAAAAACAAGATATAACTTTATTAATCCCTTGTGCCAGAGTTTCATTAAAGATTACAACAGAAGAATAGCAAAAAAAATAGAAACTTATCTGAACAATATTATAACAATTATTAAGTTACTAATTATTAGTATTATGAAATAATACTAAAATAAATAATACTGTTGCGTTGTTACGTTATTCTTTTAACACAAACCAACAACACCAATCTAACTTGTCCTGCATTAACGTTTCCTGTGGTTTGCAGAAACGTACAATGAGCAGACAGACATGTGGACAGATGTGTTTACAGTATGTTGAGCTCTGCAGGTTTGATTTATTAATAACCCGACTGGTTGTTTTGTTTTTAGTTTTGTCTTTTCATTTATAATGTAATGTATATTTTAGTTTGTTTGTTGAGGTGTGAATGACATCATCATTCAACATAAGAACTACTGATTTATTTTGAAATATAAAATATTTTTTCAAAATAAAAGACTCATTTAAGAAACGTATTCACTGAATAAAAAAAGTATTGTCCTTCAAAGGTAGTGTAAAGTCTTAAAATTAGTGATGTGATTCTACTTTGATTATATACTGTGTAGTTGGTGTCTGCTCTTCACATTTGAAATACACAAAAAACAAAATAGTTATATATAAAGAAGAATTTGCAATGTAACATATTTTCAAGATATAATCCTGAAACTCAAATGTTAAAGAGTCTATACCAGCTGCTTGGTCATCAAGGTCCAGTCATAGGGTCCATATTAACTGCCTGACATCAGCACTCAGCCCACTACACCCAGTGCTGCGTTATTCCCAGAAACGCGTGCGTGCGTGTGTGTGTGTGTGTGGGAGAGAGTGAGGCCTGTGGGGGTGCGTTGGATTTACGCAAGCGGGCGTGATGACCGGGTCGGTGTGATTGGTCACCAACTGCGTGCCACAAGATTCCTGTCAGCCCGCAAAAAGGGTTGTGCGCTTTTTATAAGGGTTAAACTGCTGCAGGCAGAGGGCACATTGTTCAGAACCCACACAGCTGATTGAGTGACGGAGATCAACGACGGGAGCCGAACCGAACCGAAGCAGACCGGTGCGCACCACAAGGAACAGCAGCCTCTCCAAAAGAAGCGCGCTAATTAAGAGAGGAAGAGGAGAGAGGAAGCACACGAGCCATGTCTCTGCCCAGTGAGCGACAACTTTTTCTTCTATGTTTATTCTGGTTTCTTGGATCTTGGAGCACAACAGGTGAGTGATCACATTTAACTTCATTAACTGGTCTTAAGTTGTTTTAGGGTAATTATTAATGCAAAAAAACAAATAAGCTGTAAATGATGTGGATTCTCTTTTCTTGCTTCTGTCTTGGATTCAATCTTAAAACACATCTAGAATCCTGGGATTGTGTTGTT